CCTCCCCCCCAAAAAAAACTCCCCCATAAAAAGAAGACCTACATCCCCATCCCCATCACTATCACCATCCTCCCCATCCCCACCACTACACACTACACACTACACAATACCCAACCTTCTCCCCCCTCCCCCAGTACCTAACCTAACCTAACCTAACCCACAAAAACCACCATACCATACCATACCATACCATACCATACCATACCATACCATACCATACCATACCATACCATACCATACCATATCTATACCATATCACACAACTCGAGTATATGCCATAAACAATAAACCAAGACAGTAACTATAAGCACCTGTAAAAAGCAAAAGAATAGAATAAAAGAAAGCCCCCACAGTCTCGAGAGGTACCAGCAAGTATTTTCTCATTCTGAACGACCTAGGTACTTACGTATCTATTTATCATACTGTAACGCGATATTGTAGCAATCCCCGAAAAGTTAGAGATCTGAATAGGATTATGTATGTAGTATAAAGGAACCTTGTACAGTATAGTACACGACGAACAAGAAACGCTTTACTCGGTCCAAGCAATATATCTTCCACTCACCCACCCATCTTCATCACTACATGCAAAGTAATCACAACAGAAACAAGAGAAGAAAAAAAGACAGAAAAAATCATGCAACATATCTTCCAATTCATTCCATGGATCGAGGTGCATACAACCCCCCAACCTTCCAGCACCACCACACAATATCTACACATTTCCGTCCTTAAAAAACCCACCCCCCAATTTCCATCATTTCATCCTTCCATTCATCCATCCATCCATCCATTCCATATGTCCATCCACCCAACCACCATATGTTCACAAAACCACCCAATCCATCCATCCATCCACCCTAGCCAGTCCTTGCCAACCAAGTCACAGACTTTGTACATATCTCCCATCCCATCCATCATCCCCTAATCAAATTCTGGCAAATGAAAAAAAAAAAAACCGATGAGCAAAGAAAAGCAATCCCTAGAACGGTTCCGCCAAAATGCGAGCAGCATACCTAGCGGAAGGAGAAACAAGATTTGTATGTAAAAAGGGGCTACAAACCCGGAGGTATGCAACCAAGAAACGAAGCAGAAAGGAAACAAGGTATCTGAAAAATGACCACATGAAAAAATAGAGACTACACATTACGGTAGTGCAAAAAGCAACGAAAAAGGGCAAAATTCAAAGCTGGTGACCGCCACCGCAGTCTTGCGTATGTGATCGGCCTCCTTCCAGATCAACTTGAGTTACTTGCAACAGGAGACCTCCATGGATGTGCGAAAAGAATCGAAAGGAAAAGGCGTCTTCTGCAGAAGATGTGCTGGTGAAAGAAAAAAGACTTCAAGGAAAAACATTTGTACAAGAAAAATTTGTCATTGCCCATAATTGATCATTGTCCGTTGCGCCGTGGTGTATCTGCCAAATCAAGTAAAGTGTGCCCAGTTCGCCGAAAGAAATATTTGCGTCCAGATCAACTGTGATAAAATCATAGTGCTTGACCTGGAACGGGCTTTCGTACTGGGGCATTTACAGATGGTCTTGGAGGTCCATTGTTATCGACTGGGTACGGAGGATTTACTGGGTTCAAACTTGTTGGGCCAGGTGGGCTGTTTTGTCGAACTTGTTGTTGTGCGTTTGACGGGGCCTGGGGACGACCTTGGCCTTGGCTAGAGGGTGTCATCGCGCGATGTTGACTGCCTGGAGAGGTAGGAGTCATCGATCGAATTGGGTTAGGACCATTAGGGCGATTAGGGTTTCCAGGTTGAGGTTGTCCGTTTGGTGTCATTCGACCAGTAGGTGTCATTGGGCGACCTTGTCCAGGAGGAGTACGAGGGCTATTTTGTTGTGGACGAGGCTTGACAGGGCGAGTAGAAAGACATGTTCTTGGGACCACACCTTGCTTTGATCGATCGAGGCGAATACAAAGAGCCCATCCATCATCGTACTCGTGCAACAAACGGATCAATTGGCCAGCACGTAGCTCGAGCTCATCATCCATTGAAGGCTTGAAGTCGAGTTGAACGCGGTGAACAACGCTGTTAGCTGGACCACCAGCAGCTGCAATAGCGACGGCGGTGCTAGTTTGTGTCGGGGTGTTGGGAGAATCAGACGACATACTGAAATCAGTTCCTGCAGGACTTGGAGGACCCATGAAGGGTCCGGCTTTGGTGAAATCCATGGGTTTAGGACCGTTTCCACACTTCGAAGCCCCTCTGCTAAGACCAGTGGCAGCAGCAGCACCTGCGGCGGTACCTGCAGCAGCTACAACAGCGGCTCCGTTGCTGGCACGAGAGTTGGCAACAGATTCTACGACTGGGGTTGTCATATCAGGAATAGTTGGTGCGCCATTGGCATTCTCGACATCAATGGTTCTTGCGTGGTCGCCAAATGGATTAGCCGAGTTGTTTGATGCATTGGTATCCGGTCTTTGCATTTGCACTGGGGGAAGAGCCTTTTCGGTATTTGGAGCGGCCGATGTAGTCATGAGAGCATTTCCTTTGCTAACACGTCTCTCCATCAAGTTGGGGATGAATTGAGTGACCGGACGAAGAGACAAACGAGGAGCAGTGGCATTAGTTCTGATGCTTGGAGCACGAGAAACCGAATCCGCGAAAGGATCCTCTTGCTTCTCATGGTCTGCAAGAGCAACCTTGTTTGCATCCTTGCGTCTCTTGAATGCGTAAAGAACAATTGCAAGGATGGCACCGATCAGTAGCAAAAGCCCAATGACGATACCAGCCTTTCCTCCACCACTCATACCCTCACTTGAAGTGCTGGCTTCGCTTGTTGAGCTCGACTTGGCGGAGGAACCCGTTGCTGAAGCGGCTAATCCGTTTGGAGGAGAGGACAGAGCACTCGACGCAGCAAGAATTGCGATGGAACTCGAGAGAGTAATTGAGGGGGGGGTTATTGCGGTTGGAAGCTCAGTTGACAATGGTGCTTCGGCAGCAGAGGGGGTTGGAACGGGTGTATCATCAACAAGCGGGGCCTCTGAAGGGGCGACACTTGACAATGGTCTTGGAGCAGGAGCAGGTCTCGTAGGGACGGCTGCTGGAGGAGCTGGAGGAGGTTGTGTTGGTCGTACTGGGGCGGGAGCGAAGGTAGGAGGTGCTGGAGGTTCATCGGCGCCCACAGTACTGTATCCTCCAATCGGTCCATCAAAGGTTGCTGGAGCTGTCACGTAGACAATTGATACTGCTCGCTCTTCAATAGCCTGCTCAACCTCGATGACCTGACGACGAGCACGCAGGCGATGAAAGTGACTGTGGCTCGCCATTAGAACTGGTGATAGATGAAATTATGGTAAAGTGAGAATGTGAACAGCGTCTTTGAGATCGGAATTGGAACTGCGGAGCGATCGGTTGGACAAGTGTTAGATCAGGACAACGCGATGTTGCAGAGTGTAGATTAGATTATTATCTTATTGACTTTGGATCGGTGGAGTGAGGGACGTCTTGAAGATCGGTCTTCGCGTTGAAAGAAAGTAGGTGACGATGGTGTCAGATTGGTGAATTGAATTTTGGACAAGTGCAACCGACACAAAGGTTCAAACTGTCAATAAAAGAAGGATGACAGAAAGACTTGCGTAGAAGTCGTGTTGAATTAGTTACCGATACGGTACGGTAGAAGGAACGACAGGAGGCAGGTAGGACCAGAAGACCAGAAGAACCTTAAGGATTGCGACGACGACTCTGGACGAGGTGGAGAGGAAAGAGGGAGGGCGGAGGGAGGTGCGAAAGCGTCCTGTCTAAAGGTGGTTCAGTTACCCGGGGGTGGGACAGTGGGATATGTGCTTGTCGGATGCCAAAGACAAGAGACATCCCGCCAAGCCAATCAGATCGTGCGGCAATTTCAACCGTGCCTGACGCTATTCCCGACCAGGAGCTAGCGCCAGGGGCAGCAGATTATAAATGTGGATCGGTCTCCAATCAACGCGGGTTCCTGCTTTGTCCTCAACAGGGGCACAATGCCTGTGCGGTCGGAATAACTCAGGGGAAACAATGATCGTCGTTATTTTGAGATTTCTCAGAGCCTTGTCAAGTGTTTGCTGGGCCATGATTGGTCCAATGGTTCGGTCTGCCCCCTCTGCACTCAACGTGGGGAGTCAACAGTCGCTTCTTCATGCGCACCAAGAGTTACTTTCCGGGTCAGCCTTTGGACTACTGCCTGCACAGGCACCAGATGATATCAGAGGGTTGCTATCATTTTTGATCGTATCGATACTCGTATCTTTATATTGATAGCAGCTGGATGGTGCGTTATCCTGGTGATGATGATGGTGATGTGATGGTGTTGTTTGTTTTCATAATTCATAAAATAATGACAGGCTTCAAGGTTGCCCTTCATATACACGGTTCATCGGTTCATCCCATCATGGTGAAACCCCCGGAATTTGCATTTATTATCCATGATCCATCCACTCCACTTCCCGTCCAGACACATCGCTCATGCTCATGAATATCCTCAATTTCCATCGTTTCACCCTCTTCCCAAAGGTCTCTCTCTCAAGCTTCCCAATCACCCGTGCTCAATTGAGATCGTTATCTCGGGAGCTCCCACCATCCACGACCCCGGGCCGTGGAAGTTTGAGAACGGGCACTTGGACAACTCGGTGGCCTTTGGTGACCCACGCTAATCGCCGGAATCATGATACACTCGCTTTGCGCATGATGTGATGAAGATGAGCGAAGCGGTCAAGTTGTCGTTATGAGAAGGAACAGCTGTTGGGCTAAGTTATTGCAATTGAAACACATTCACTAGTAAATCCAACTGAAAAAAAAAACGATCCGTACAAACACACACATCCTACCGCACCAAACGGCTGCACAGGAAATCATGATCATCTTGATCTACACGTTTCAACCAACTTCTGGGAAAATATATCATAAACACGGCGGGGACCAAAAACAAGAAAAACACGGCGAATCCAGAAAATCTATTTATATTTTCGTTTCCAAACACCTGGATGGCTTTATCACTTTCTGCAATTTTCGTTTGCTTTGTAAAACATACAAAAGGATATCTCCGATTCCACCATTTCCATTTCACGACCCACCCAACCTGAAACGCATTCACAAATGCAAAGTCCAGTTCGATTTAAAGTCTCCTCGGTCTCTCCAGTCCATAAAGCAACTGGCACTTTAACTTAACATCAAACCTTTTTTTTATTTACGGATCAGCGAAAGTTGGGGTTTCTTTGCCCACGTGCTCGCATTCTTTTTCATCGTGATGAGGAATAAGACTTCGGTAGGTCTTTATGCTTTTTCTGGTCTTGGGTTTTTGATTCTGAATAAATTACATACCGAGGGAGTCGGGCCTGTACGTCGGTACAAGTAGCCTCTAATCTATCTGCGGAAAATACGTTTTGTTGGGCTAGAGAAATTGTCAATTGAGGGCTGGATTACCAACAAATTTGTATGTCCTGTACTCGTAAAATTTCTGTTTTTGCTATTCAGGGGAAGTGATTGTGTACAGCTTGATCTTACAGGATTATTTAAATTCCCTATGAAATCCTGTGATAGACTCGACTATCCCTTGCTTTTTGTTTCCGTGCATTTCCTCTCCTTGGAAAATAGCCCTGACGTCAAAGTTGGGGAATTTTCAAAGTAAGGGACAACCCGTCAACCCTTGATCGCTCAAAGAGACAATTTGATGACGATTTAACAATAAGAATGTATTCGGAAAGGATCATCTGCCAAGATGAATGTCTCCATTACCGAGAAATAACTTATAATTCCGCGACCAAGAATACAATTCCGCAACCACGAATCGAGGATAAATCTTGAATTGTCATGAAAGCTTCACCAGTCCTTGTTCTACTTCTCTGCCGATCTACACTTGCAAATCTGATACCCGCTCTGCAAGTCGTCACTATTGGAGTTGGCGATGGCAAAAACAACAGTAAAATACTCTACTCTCCGTAACACCAGACATTATCATTTCTTACCCCAGATTCCGTAGTCTTCTCAGCGCCTGCCTACCCATCTCTTCGCCATCTTGTTCCCTTCTCCTCTTACGTGCCCTCTCGGCTCTTCTTGCATCCCCAGTATCTTTCCTCTCCTCCCTCTCACGTTCCATAGCCACGGGTATCCTAGCCTCGGCCAAATACCTCTTAGGTTCTCGCTCGGTGGCTCTCCTAGCTTTTCTCTCCTCCGTTTTCAACTCGTCTGCAGACTCCTCCTTGATATATCGAGTGCTGAGAGACGATGAGGATCATGAGCCGCTTGAATCGTCGTCGCTGTTGCTATCTCCGTTCTCATCTTCATCGTCCTCATCCTCATCCTCGTCACTCCCATCTTCATCACTCCCATCCTCATCTTCCCCATCCCGACCCCATTGTAAGTCTGAAAGTTGCTGTATTGCAACACAGGAAACACCAGCAAAAACCATAGAAATGGCTTGGGTTTGACGCAAACGACGGCGAAGAGCCCGTTCGCGAAGTTGAAATTCCTGCTCTGTAGCCATAATCAATCGAAAAAAGATTGCGGGATTACAACCTAGAAGGCGACGTTGGAACCCTTATATACTAAGTTGGGTATAGATATCGCGCCGTTGCTCACTAACAACTACTGGACCTTTGTGCCTACGCTAGCTTCCTTGTGTACGGATTGATCCGCCGATTTTAGTCCAAGATACCATACCTACTACACTAGCTTTAAACAAAACCAGAGAAAATCACAAAAATACGAAATATTTGTGACGGTTCTTACCGCCACCATGCCTCAAACCAGCCCCTGGCTGGCACCCGGCGTGCCCCGTGCTTCCCGAGCCCGGCTCGGTTAGCTATGGCTTGGCACACCTCCGGTATATAAGAGCTTCCAGCTCCTGAGCTTCTATCCTATCTTTCTCTTCTCTCTTCAGCTTAGAATCCTCGAATAGACAGTTCCACAGTGCCCAAATTACACCAGGCGTAGTCGTGCATTCGTGCGCGGTCCATCAGCTGTACGTGTCGTCACAATATTCTCCAGACAACTCTTCAAAAGCCAATTAGACTCGATGCTGATACGTGTAACCTTTCAATGGGTTGTCGTGGTTCTATTATAAGTAGTGATATCGGCGTGTAGTATAGAAAACCCTCGATACTAGGATATAGGTTTTGCTAGTAGGTATTCGATAGGATATAACCGAAGTTATCCTTATAGTAAGGTTCTTAGTATAGGCGACGACCAGGTCGTATATTAAAGTTTCAGGGATATATAATATTGTTATCTAGTAATATAAGTATATTATATATAATTATTTAATTCTTATTAGTAAGTTCTAGTTAAGTACTAAAAACTCTAGGGTATTATATAAATTTATAAAGTTCTAGAGAATTTTTATTACTTCTAAGGATATAAGCAAGGTTATTTTAGGTACTAATAAACTTTTAGAACCTAAAAAGACCTAAGAATATCCTTTAATCGAGGTTAGGTATCCTTATACGGAATGCTATCTAATATAGACTTTTTACTAACTAACATAGAAGAGACTGGGCTCCCTAGCCACTTTACGGTGTGTTCCTAGATATCCTTGATGACTCGTTACAATGCTAGTAATGTTATATCTGATAATGTACGTGATAATAAAATGAGGTTATTCCCGTCGCCGATACCCAGATCTCCTTTGAGTAGGATCCACAGCATCTATAGCGTTATACGTAAGATGCTAATGGCGAAGACGATGAGTTAGAGTTAGATACGCATTTCGACATATTAGAGACGCAACAGGTAGTTTAGTTAATAAAATATGCTTTTACAGCACCAAAGGATTATATATAAATATAGTGAATTTTAATAGCGACGACGAGGTGGCGACGACGAGGTGGTAGTTACGAACATTACTAGCATTGTTACGAGTCATCAAGGATACCCAGGAACACACCGTAAAGTGGCTGGGGAGCCCGGTCACTTCTATGTTGGTTAGCAAAAAGTCTATGTTAGATAGTATTCCACATCCTTATAACCTACTAAAAAAATCGGGACCTGGGAATTAAAGGATTTAACCGAGGCATCCTTATAGCGCGTATCCTAGTATCGAGTTTTTTCTGTAATCTACACTTAGAACCCTGCTTGCACTCCTTGTCTTGACCAGCCATCTGTTGCTGGACCGCTGGTGGTGTTTCCCAATAATCGAGAAAGCTATATCCGGACCTCGGGAAGCAACTTTGGCACAGCGTGGGTTTACGAGCTCCCTCGAAAGTCCCCCCGCGATAGACGCTTCCGGATGTTCCGGTGGTGCCCTACCGTACTGGTATGCACTTCATTGGCTGCTAAACAAGGTCTGTGGAATGAGCTTGGAGTCTAATCGTTAGTGCCCCCTTTAACCGCTAAGCGAGCATCCCTATTCCTCATTTAGGAAACTTTTCCCAGGTATAGCTCGGTGAAATCTGGGGATTTTCCGCGTGATGACCGCACGAAAGCAAAGACCACCACGACAAATCTTTCCGGAGAAGCTGCCAAAAATACAAACGACACTTTCCGATTGGTGGGGAAAGGTTGACATGTGCCTACAGTACGGTAGGCACTGTACTGGAATTCTTCAGATGAACAAGTTTACGGTATGTATCGTTTTCTGCCTCACCAACCGTTTAAATGTTTCAGAATTTGTAATTCTGTTTCGTGAGGTCCAATCGTGCTATATCCTTCGTGACCCCGACTCAAGTTGAACTTTCTTTCCTTCATGCTATGTGTTTTTCCACCGAGGTCTTGTTGTACTGATAAATACCCACAAGAGTCATGGTTAATTGGGGGAGACGATCCCTTGGTTGTTATCTTTGTCGTGCTAGAAGGATCAAGGTAAGTTTAACTACTTCGTATCTGACTGAATTTCCAAAGATGCTAATGACATGGCATGATAGTGTGATGAGACCAAACCAGCCTGCAACCAGTGTGTAAAGACGCGACGAACATGTCCCGGGTATCGCGAGCTCTCCACCATCAAATCCCCTGGATCCAGAACGTCCCCGGATAGGCAACCAAATATTATTGATCGAGGTCGGAATACTGTTTCTCCCCCACGGGTCGTGAGCCATGTTTCCACACCTATATCGGTGGATGTGGAACAGCAGGCACTATGTTTCTTCCTCACCAACTTCGTGCTTACTTCTATGGGCGATAAAATGAAAGGGAAATTGGACTTTGTGGTTCCCATGTTGTCGTCTGGGAATAAGACGCCGTTGAATACGGCTTTTACTGCGTTGACGTTTGCGGCGCTGGGCAACGAGCCGAGTGGGAAGTGTCTTATTCCTGGAGCGAGGAGGCAGTATCATAGAGCTATGCAGGAGGCTAAGTTGGCGTTGAAGGATCCGACGACTGCTACTTTGGATTCGACGCTGGCTACTGTTGTGTTGTTTGGCTATTTTGAGGTAGGTTTTATATCAGTTATTGAGAGGGTGTTTTGACGTGAAAATCTCCAGGGAGTTACGGCGGATAGGTTTGCGCCTGTGATTGCTCACATTGATGGTGCGGTGACTTTATTGAAGCTGAGAGGGCATAAGCAACCAGAGAGCCAATATTTCTGTCAGCTATTCAAAGAGATTCGACAACAAGCCGTACGTACTTTTTCTCGGGGAAAAGTGTTGCTTTTACTGACTTTCAAAAGACAGTAAATGCTTTCGTCCGGGCGATATCCATCGACAAAGATGTAGACTGGTTCATGATAGATGAACCCGACCACCGCCGAGAAGCAGCGGAACTTAACATTCTCACCACAACCCTCCAAGAAGACTGCGAAAGGCTTCTGAATTTGGCAACCCGTACCAAGGCCGCCTTGAAACAGGTTACCGAACTGTCAATTAGAGCAGAAGCGCTTGAAGCCCGATTCCTGAAATGGAGCAAGTCTCTTCCCAAAAGTTGGCAACCAAGAACAGTCGCTTGGACAGACTACATCCGCGACATCGATCTCGAAAAATCCAACATGTTCCCAGGAAAAGCAGATTTATACGAAGACATCGACATAGCCACAACCTGGAACCTCTCGCGGGGCGCACGACTAATCGTCTCCTCTGTCTGGATCCGATGTACTGCCTTCCTCCACCATCCAAACGACTACCGCGTCTCCCACGAATACGCCAAAGCATGGCGCGTTGGCTCCGAATGGATTGGTGATATCATTGCTAGTGTCCCTTATTTCTGTGGATGGCAGTACACTGAGGGATTCGAGGGCGATTATGATGATCATCTGACGAAGTTTGCGAAGTTGGGGTATTTTACTAGTCCCGGCAAGGGGATTAATGGAATGATGTTGATGTGGCCGTTGTTGATGGCGAGGTGCTCGGATTACGCTAGTGTGCGGCAGAGGAAGTGGTTGGCGGGGAGGATGGATCTGATTCCGAAGAGGATGGGGTTTAATAATTCGATTGAGTTTTCGGAGGTAAGTATTTTCCCTTCTTTTTGAAGGGTAGAGCAGTGCGAAGAGTGAGTAGTTGACGAGATTTAGGTTGATATTTGCCTCCCGTCTGCTATGATAATGAAGGATACCGCTATGATACCCGGGAGCGTCTATACGGATTGCTGGAGAGGGCCAAATGCGAGACCGAGTACTGATGAGTCTGTACAGGAGAGCAATTTTTTGAATAGATCGATGGACGAGGAACAGTTAGAGGAGGTGAGACAAAAGATGGTTAGAGTAGATTCATGAGACATAACAAACTCACAGTATGAAATGTGCGTTTCTTATGGTAGATTTACTGGGCAGCATTAGATGGAGAGGCTGTAATATTAGTGGCTACATATGGATGAATTAAGATTTCACCTACTAGCCTCGTTGTTAGGGGCCGGAAGAGCGGCGAAATCTGTGCCTGTAAAGACCCTTTTCCCAAGAGACAAATCCGATATCTTGCAAAGCAATCGAAAGTATAGACTTGTTGCAAGAGCAAAAGTTTCCGGGGGCTTGGCTTTCTTACGGATATATGTGAAAAAACGCCTGTTTTCATTTTCTCAGGTAACACTTGAACAAACTTGAAATTGTAAACAAATGTTCAATCGAATATCATAAATAGTGTAGACAATGCCATGTAGATCATATGTAATACCAAGTAGAAGTCTACAAACCCCAAATCTGGATCTCGGAGTAATCGCTGGTTTCGTCTAAAACTAGACCAAAAGTCGCAACGTTATCTCTAAGGAGAGACTCCCAGTTGGCTAGCCTCTTTATACCAGTAATATTACAGTACTGATGCTGTGTCATTTGAACTTCGGAGAAAGTTTGGGGAATTCTCGAGCATTCTTCATAACCTATCACTGCTGCATATGCTGTACGATGCGAGAGACAAAAATAGGCCATTTTTACGCCACCGTGAAGCAATCTTGTAGGTAGTACTGCAGTACTCTGATGGGCATGTTGGGTCTAGCTAGATAAGAATCCAGGCTAAATCAGCAGTGCGTAGGCTGATAGGTGTCAGCTGGTGAGGAATGATCTACAGTAGCACTGGTGGTGGAGGTGTTGGCGAATTCAGTAGCATCAAATTATCAATTTTTCGTCCTTACAACACCAGCTTGTGCTTGTATCGACAACTCTACAAACCAATATGACTTCGATGGGAGACAGCATGGGAGAAGACAGCCCCGGAGAAGACGATATGGTGCCAGATCTATGCTCCTGGTGCAGTCAACTGGACTTCGAGTCGATTGCGAATCTCTTCCCAATTGATTCAGAGATTGCAAACCATTCTTTTCACCATGAAAAAGATTACGACGCTATTGATTTCTTTGTCGTCGCGAATGTTGGCTTGCGGTTTAGGACAAAAATACCACCCCGTTGTCGGTTTTGCCAATTTCTGCATGAGCAGTTGCGTGAAAGTGAACTGGATCATACGAGTAAAGAAACTGGTGAGGGTGACGAACTTGTTGCCTTCTCACTTCGACAGAAGCTTCGTTTTAATTTTGGAAATGTTGCTTTGGATGATACAGTGCTGCTTATTGTTCCGAAAGAAGAGCGGAGAATAATGAGTTTTTTCTGGTTACCAGAAACCTCGATGTGTATTACCCGGAACCAAGATGCTGCCAACTATTATAGACCAATCCAACCGACTGTCGACTACGAGGTCATTCGTTCGTGGTTGAACGAATGCAACAACCATCACTCTAAGTGTAAAAAAGAACGACGGGAATTCTCTCTGTCCCTCGTGGACTGTGAGAACCGGCGTATCGTGCCCAGCGACTCATCCACTGTATATCTAGCATTGAGTTATGTTTGGGGAGAAATTCGTCGTTGCACTATCGGGTCTGATCTTAGGCTGCCAGATGATTTTCCGAACACCATTGCCGATGCGATCACGTTCACGCTGAATGCTGGGTACAGGTATCTTTGGGTGGATCAACTTTGCATTGATCAAAACGACCCTCGAAAGAGATCCGAACAGATCTCTCAGATGGACTTGATTTATGGCACAGCTGAACTTACACTGGTTGCCGCGGCTGGTTTTGATTCTTCATTTGGCTTATCAGGAGTGTCTAGTAGATTGAGACCAGAAAGGCGTCTTGCAACAGTACCGGGTAAAGGGATTGCTTCCGCTATCCATCAAGTGAAAGATTTCGTAGGTGATACATGGTACATATCTAAATCGAAGGTATAAAGACCGTTTATCTTTTCAATACTCTGGATCCACTGGCCGGTAATCACGGAATTGATCTCATTTCCTCCGTTTTAACAATTCACAAGTCACTAATACCATCTTACATAGTGGGCATCAAGAGGATGGACCTTTCAGGAGAGTTTTCTCTCCCGACGTCTCCTGATATTTACCGAGGATCAATTATACTTCGAATGTGGTAGTGTGAGGTGTTTAGAAAGCATCAAAGTTGAAGAAGTTGGTCTTGAGAAGAGACCGCGATTTGACGCCAATGTCATCGGACCGATTTCAAAGACTCAGGCAATGGATCATCAGCGCGATGACCATAACATACACCAAATGTTTTCCACTTTTGGCGAACTTATTGAACGGTACAGTTCTCGAAAATTTACTGATGAGGGCGACGTTTTGAATGCAGTCACTGGCATCATGAAATATCTGGAGCCACCTTTCATCAAAATAAAAGACTCTGTTTTCATAAACGTTTCTAGCAAAACAGAAGTTGTGGTGGATTTGAGAAGCTTTTGGGGTATACCCCATTTGGTCTCATCAAGTGTGGATCCCAAGATTCAGAAAGCACTTCATGCTCTCACAGTTCCTTTCCCTTGTTGGCGAAGCAGATTCCCTAGCGAGGCTAAACGGAGGCCTCAGTTCCCTTCATGGTCATGGGCGGGCTGGACAAGTCCTATAGCCTACACCAAATATTCTTATACGGGCTACAAGAAGGTCTTACTGGAAGATATTCAATTCGAAATAGGAGATTCCAGAGTATCTGCCAGTAAATGTGGGAATGGGAGTTTGCAACACAACATATTACGAAAGGACCAAAAGCCACGTATTCACCTTAACATGGTCATATTGCCTTCGGACTTCTTCCATCATCGCACCTCCCATACGTGGGTTATTGAAATAGGAAATGTCTACTATGATCGTGGTTCATTTGCCGAAGAACACAAATTTCAATGGAGTTTCATGGACTTTTACACTGCTAGACTTGAGATCAACGGAGTATTCGATTCCAGTGACCCTCTAGATGACTCACATGTATCTGATATCCTGGAGCGAACCAAGTCTGGGAATCTAGTAATGGGTTTGGTTGGAAATTTTGGAAGTAGCTCGTCGAATAGATACATTGTAATCCTTCTCCTACAACGAACTTCGGATTGTTATGAGAGGGTGGGTATCATGCATGTCTATTGTATTAAGGGTTCCTGGGGGGGTCAAATGGAGGATCCAGACATTTCAATGCAACAGGCGTTTGACAGTATATCTTCAAAGGTGGATCTGCAGAAGAAAACTTGGATATGCCTAGAATGAGTTTTGGTTCTCAAGAACTCCCATTCCGAAAAGTTCTGACGGCGGGGGTTGCGTCTCGATTTGGAGGAAATTTTAAGAGCATTGAAGAAGGGAGCTACAAATCGCAAAGTGGGAAGGATCCATAAAGATATTCTCGGTTCTGAATTACTCTTTGTTTCGATTTGAGAGATTGATGTTGATGGGCAAGAGTTGGATTATGTAGTGTGTTCAGGAGTATTACGGCCGTATGAAATTACGATGTTTCTTAGTTTATATTATCATGACATTCCAATGAACTCCCAAGACCAATATTATCACTACACTATTTGGATCAAGAATAGTGGCATTTCCGTGAGTATATATGTCCATTCCAGTAAGTTAGGGCAACGCCTCCTTCGATTTTGGGTCCTAATTTTGGATCCTTCAACTACTATTTTACAACCGCAACTCTATACTTGCCTTTTCAACATGCTACCGCTGCAACTCTGAACTATCCCCTGGTTACTTCGAAGCAAAAAGGATTGAGCCAACAAGAACCACTAGTTGTCTTGTGCAGTGAGACATTTAGTTACATTAAACAAATCATCGTCGTTTTGGTACAAGGGACCAATGAGCTAGCGAAATAAGTATACTGACATGAATATTCCTGTTCTCACTATTGTCAGAAATAGCAATATTTACAACCGAAAATAGAATTAACATGTAGTACTAAGCAACGCTCGGCATCTTGAATTCCTTTCTAATCTAGACCCCTCCTCTAAAATAAATCTATTCTAGCTCCCCTTACTACATAGAATATAAATAATTTCTAGATTGAAATTAGAATTTATAATATAACCTAGGAAAAGGTCCTCCTGGTCTACCGTCTAGTAGGTATAGGTAGTAACGTGTTCCGTAAAGCTCCCCCTACGAGGTATAGTATCTACTATGCGAAATCTAGATTACGAGGATCGTGATATAAAGAGTCACTTATCCTTCTATAGTCTATTATAAAGTAACCTATAAGGTACCAGTATTTCTATTTACTTGATTTACTATATATAATAAATATATCCTGTTTACTGAAAACCGCCCCCTAATTCCCACGTTTTAATTAGTTAGAAAACCCTCTGGAATTCCATAGATCTCCTAGAATTCCAGAGACAAATTAATAGAAGGAATCTGTTCTATTTTAAGCTACTCTACAAGGATTCTACATGGATTATTCCACCTAGCATTCTATGATATATGGTTCCATTTGCCGAGCGTTGGTGCTGAGTATGGCATTCTTGTCTAAATAGACCCCAAGAAAAGTAGTCCTGTCTTTTCTAGTAGTATACCAGTCAATTACCACCCGTTAACTAAGTGGCATAACAAGTGAACTCTTTATACTACACAATCCTATTTTCTAGCACTTTATGTCTACATCTATATATAATCTTACATAAATACTAAACAACTGCATTTTGTAGCTTAGAGCTTACGAATGCAAGCAGAATCACTAAATCCAGTCAAAGTGATGTTATATAGATACTAGCAGTTTTGAAAGATATTATATACGGTTTTATGATCCGAAACAGTTGGGTACAATAAACAGATATACAAGCTAGTTACCCCAAATATTTGGCATAATTATCTTCATTATACGGGTCTTTCTGGCAAAACATTGTTTTTAGTAGATTTGTAGAGCAAGGATTGAGTTTTTCACAATATTACTACAATGCCGATTGAAATAAAGACTAGTTTCAATACTGCAGTAAGACCTACACGATGAAGATATTATGGTACTAATTCAGCATAGCTGCATACATACCATGTTTTAAACTGGTATTCAAACTTGACATTGTAGTAGTATATTATCAAGAAAGATATTACTCACAAGGAGCCGCAAGACTTATTTCCCGCGAAGTAAAGAATCCACAAGATCTTTTACCGCAAAAGTCCCGTAAGTTTTCCAACTTTTGCGTACTACATATCTGAGAAAAGTCCGTCCTAACCATCACGCATCTTGGACACGCAGCCTATTTGCCAACGCATCCAATAACCTGGATTACATGTTTCACAATGCGTACCCACCAAAACCAAATCATCCTATTCCTCACCTTCTCCCCGTATCATCTCCTCTACTACCGGTTCCACAAGCCATTCTGTCCCAGGAACCAGCTAAAAACTCCCCCTCTCCGCCCTCACCGCGATCGCAGGAAGCCACCGCAAGTCTCCCTTTCATTCCCACCGTCTTAAACTTCCAACTAAGTAACATTATTTCTTTGCTCCGAGTCCGTAAAATAGCTGAGTATGAAATGTAAGCTCAGCATCGGGAAGAAAACGCTTATTAGAATCACCTCGTAGCTGTATAAGTAAAGCTTCAGAGTATTCGGTATAGAGTTGACTTCGCTGTCGTTGTGATACCTTGGATTTGTTATTAATCTTCTGAGAATCGGTAAGACTAAAGCGTACCAAATCAGTCATCGAGATCTTAGCACCAGCAATATCTTTATTAATAATGACTTTAATATGATATATTATTAACTTGAGATTTCCATGCACAGTTTCTATCTCAACATGGCTCGCTACTCCACGCTTTCTTCACGTCAGAGATGATATCGACTTGGCTCTTCACGCGTCTTGTCATGCTTGATGGCTTACAAGACTGCTTTTATTTCATAGAGCTCTACTCACTTATTTTCAACCCGGAGGAAGAGTCAAATATACCCTTCGTCTTTTAGGAGTCGAGGAAGGAGAAGGAGTTTGGCAAGGAACTTGTGGAGTATGAACGTCCTGTTGGGAAGATAAGAAGGGATGAGGAGGAGGGTTTCCCAAGTCAGATGAGGGAGCTCGATTACCAGGAAACTTACGATGGTTTCTTTGTTTAGTAGAGAGTTTGTGGCGGATAGGAATTATGGAAGTGGCTTGTTGAAGCAATTGAATAGCCACCCCCAGGGATTTATACATAGGTATATAGAACTGAGATTCTTGAGGAGTAAAACGACATGGAAGAAAAACTAGGTCTTCTCTTGATTTCTATCATTTTTGGATCATCCATTCAAGATGTAGACCATGATTTATCTATTAGAGAAATGTAAATCGCTTGTTGTTCACACGTGACTCCGATGGGCCTTGTTCCCACTCGAAGATACGGAAATCTGTCTCCTTTGCGCAAACTGAAATACTGGAGAGCTCCTCAAATTTCCAGGGCTAAGAGAGCATATGTCCACAATCTGAGTCGAAAAGGGATCGTGGTCTTCTTCGTCACAAGATGAAGCCATCGCAACAGCCTGAAATTCCGCGTGCCCAAGACAATCACATGCAAAAACAAAACGCGATAAATAGACTTTTTCTAGATCAACGAAAGGAGATTGGGTAGAAGTGGATATTTTCTAGGAGCAAAAGAAGATTCTACGGTCGAAGTATTGGTATGAAGCTATCCGGAAAGCTTCAAAGACCGGAAAGTGAGAGAAGTTGGGATGGCGTGTTTGGCGTGGGTAGTTGAGGACATGTCGGTGACTTCATATCGTCGTACCTGCACGGGCATATAATTAAAGCAGCAATGAATCGATCCCGTCCCACCTTCTTGATAGAGCAGTATTGGAGCCTGGAGAGCTGGGATAGTATATAATTCGAATCATAATCATGTGAAGGCGAGGGTGATGGTTGTAGATCATCTGCGTTGATGTTTTGCTCGGCTATCAAAGTGTACTAGAGAGGAGTTACAATGATGCAAAGCATCACAAGTGAATGCCGCTTTGGTATCAGATAAAAAAAGGCTGCGCCCCACGTCATCAAGCCACACTGACGGATTCCTATGGAAAGCAAGGTCGTGTGCTTCTTGCCCACCCTGCCGCAAGCCTGCCCACCACAGCTAGCCTGATTCGCTTGCTCCTCCTTCTAATAAATTCCGAGAGAACAAACCCACCACCCATCGTCACCCATCCACAAATCCGCTACTCTTCCACTTCAGCCCAAAATCCCATCCCATCACATCCTCAACCACAGATCCCATCTACCTGAAGCAGATCCTCCAGAACAACTCTACACCTCTCTTTTTGGCCGCAGACGATCGCCATAGCTATCCTGCCAGACCCGACCACCGAACACCGACCTCCTCACACAGAGCTCGCAACCATGTCCGACTTCACGTCCAACGATACGGCGGAGAAAAGCTCCTCCAATGGATATCCAAATCTCGAGGGCGCAAAGAACAGTGTCATCAACAGTAAGGTATGTCGCAGTCTGGTCTTATCTTGGTCCTTGGGAACTTCGCCTTGCTAACATATGAAACAGTTTCTCCAAGCTCCGAAGCTCCCATTCACATCACTGACCAGACTTTTCAGATGCTTCCGCTGCTGCCAGCGCAGTTGCCAACCACCCTGTGACCCAGAGTGTCACTAATGGTACGTTTTCTGTTTGGTGTTGTTGCGAGGACCGTTGTTGACACCTGCCATAGGACCCGTCGCGGGCACCGTCAAAGATCAACACGCTAAGACACAAGCCGAATTCTCGAATCTAGCTGCTTCCCGCACAACGCCGGCAACTACAGCTGCCACCGGTCAACAGCTCACCCACTACCACTCCTTCTTTGCCAGCCTGCTCTCATGGGACAATCCACGAGCCTCCGGCATCGCCTTCTCCTCCATTGTCCTGTTTATCTTCGCTGCCCGATATCTTGATATCCTCCGATATACATTCAAGGTTACATATATGACATTGGCTGTAACTTTGTTGGCTGAGGTTGCTGGAAAGTCAATCCTGTCCCACGGGCTCACATCTCAATTCCGCCCAAAGCAATACTACACCATCTCCAAGTCAACACTCGATTCTGTTACTTCAGATGTCCACGAACTTATCAACTTCTTTGTGATCGAGTCTCAGCGTATTGTGTTTGTTGAGAATGTTGCAATTTCTCTTGCTGTAAGTGTTGCTTGTTTCCCTGCAAGATCATGGCTGACAGATTTAGGCTTTCTTCGGCTCCTTCATTTCCTACTTCTTGATCAAGTTTGTTCCAATTTGGGGCTTAACTCTTCTTGCCACCACCATTGCCTTTGCTGGACCTCTCGTTTACAAGACCAACAAGGAGGTTATCGACCACTATCTCGCTCAAGCTGCCGATATTGTAAATCAGCAAACAAAGCAAGTTCGTGAGATTGCTAGCCACCACGCCGCTCGTGCTACCGAAACCACCAAGCAATACGTTGGAGACTACTCTCACAAGGCACAAGAACTCATTGGTAACGCTCGTGGTCGATCCAACTCCCCAGTTGCGTCTGCCAAGCCAGTTGCGAAGCCATCAGTTCCTTCCTACAAGGACGAGGATTTCCCAGCTGCACCAAAGGTCGAGTTCAATGCTCCACCTTCCGTTGAGGAATCTATCGCCTCCTTGAAGACGGAAGAGCCTTTGATTGACGCATAAAGTGTCAACACGTGGCGATCTCAAGGACTACCTACCATATGAAAATGAATAATAAAACGAATGGTGGTATAGGGCAAATCAACCGGAGGTGGCAGGGGGGAAAGTAAAAATATGAATACGACCAGATGACTTTGGTATGAGGAATGATTCGATGCAGCGTGGATGATGGGATATGGACTTAGCAGGTACTTATGACGATCATGAGGGCTGCTGTATGATGTATTGGTGAATTTGGGAATGGTCCTTTTTGCGTTTCCTCGTTACTCGGTCTGGTTTGGCAATACCTGGATTTGGGTTCTCTGCGTTGGGCTTTGTTTACCGGATTCGATGCGGGGTTTGACGTTTTTATAGCATGGCTTGCGTTATCCTTTGATTTTGTGTTTATGGATGACGGAGGGTGACTTAGATTGTGGATGATGGATATGAAAATTTGATCCTTTTGAGTCTCTTGTATGCTTAATATCGTGAACTTGTGTTCTGGCGTAGGAATTTTTCTTGCCAATCGACTTGCTCTGCTCCAAACTTTCAATTGAATCTCTTGAGCAACCTGGTTCTCGGCACTGTCATGCTGAAGCCCCTTGGCGGTAAGTGTCGTGCATTACAGATCTTGTTTTCTCACGGGCTACCTGTTGTCTGGAACGTTGTTCCGGCGTACTCGTAAATGTTTCAGAAGCCTCATGTCAAGCTCATAGATGTCCGTCCGTATACGTCATGATGCATACTGTATATTTTCTTTTTTTCCGGGCGGTAAGCGAGGCTCTGGAGCTCTACCCTTGCTGAGCCACGTGTGTTCCTCTTCTATAGTACTGTATCTTTGTTGATGATGTGAGTGTGATATTTCTTGTGTGGCATTTGGGGGTTTTGGATGGGGTTTTTTGGGGTTTGGGGAATGGGGGCGGGGGAGA